CCAAAGTATGTAAGATGAAGTCTCACCATCCTTGCTTCTAAAGAGCATTGTGGTCGTCTTCTTCCAAGTCAAATCTGTTCGTTCTTTTGGCAGTCCGTGGTATAGTCAATATTCTTCACCAACACCATAATTCAAAGACGTCAATTCTTCTTTGGTCTTCCTTATCCATTGCCCAGCTTTTGCATGCATATGAAGCGACTGAAAACACCAGGGCTTGGGTCAGGGGCACCTTAGTCTTCAAGGTGGTGTCTTTGTTTTTTAACACTTTTAACGGAGGTAAAGAGAAACTGTAAAAAATGGTAATCTGTAAGGAAAAGAACTGTAAGGGAGAGGATAAAGAGGAGAAAAGCTTTCAGTTTTAATTTTGAAGCTTTTTGTGAGGTAAGGTTATTAATTATAAATAATAATTTTAAATGCAGATTTTAAAAATACATCTTTTATTGGTTTTCCAGGACCCTTCAGGTAAAGTCCAAATTCCTTAGCATAAAGAGTTTGTCTTATTAAGATGTCAATCTACAGTGGTAGTTTCATCTACTGCACTCTCCCATGCTTAACCTGCACCCCACCAGTAAAAAACCAGTTGTTATCTAGTCAGTTATGACTCATGGAGACCCTATGTGTGTCAGAGGAGAACCGTGTGTGCTCCATAGGCTGATTTTTTGGAAGTAGGTTTCCAGGCTGGTCTTCCAAAGTGCCTCTGGGTGGACTCGAACTTCCTACCTTACGGTTAGCAGCTGAGTGTGTTAACCATTTGTACTACCCATGGACTCCACGTGCACTCCAATTGAAAAACCAAACCCATTACTGTCAAGTCGATTCCAACTCATAGCGACCTTATAGAACAGAGTAGAGCTGCCCCGTAGGGTTTCCAAGGCTGTAAATCTTCACAAAAGCAGACTGCCACATTTTTCTACAGTGGAGCAGCTGGTGGGTTCAGACCTCCGACCTTTCGGTTAGAAGCCAAGCTCTTAACCACTGTGCCACCAGGGCTACTACCTGCACTCCAGCCAGCCTGACTTCACATTCTGAGCTCCTTGAAGGCACTATGCTTGTGTTTTTGTACAAGTTGGTCTCTCTACCTGAAATGCCATCCCACCCTTCATCATCTGACTAATTTAACTTTCCCTTGCCCTTTAAGATTCAGCTGGTATCACCCGTTCCACGAATAATTTTCTGAACCTATTCCACTCCTCCCATGGGTTACGTAGTTCCCCACTCTTGAGGTCTAATAACGCCCTATGTATAACTTTATAAAAAAACAAACAGAAACCTATGTGAAAAGTACTGTATGTCCCATTAACCCGGGAGCTCCCTGAGAACAAGGCTATATCTAACTCCTATGCCAAGTGCAGCACCTGGCATGGAATGGATACTTAATGTTGCTGAATGAAAAACGAAACAATAAGCTTACATCTAACTCTTCTGTAAAATGAAGGAATTACAAGCAAAGGGCTAGTTTCCCTAAGAGATTTTACATTGAGAAGCCAGCATTACAACTGAAAGAGTGGGCAAAGAATGTGAGTAGACAGTTCACTGAAAAAAAACCATGATTCTTAACTGTATGAATAGGTGATGAACCCAATTCATAAAAAATAAAATGCAAATAAACTCAACGAGGAGATACTATTTTAAACTATCAGGTTGGCAATGATCAAAAGTGTTGATAACACTGTGTTAAGGAGAATAAACAGGTTAACAGGCTGGTTTGTATGGGACTGGTGGGAGTGTATATTAGTATAACCTCTATGCAGAGAAATTTGGTAATATTTCTAAAAATTAAAAATGCAAGTCAGCCAGAAAAAGAAAACAACACAATTTAAAAGTAGGCAAAGAACTTGAATAGGCGTTTCTTCAAAGCAGATATACAAATGGCCAATAAGTACATAAAAAGATGCTTAACGTCATTAGCCACTAGGGAAATGCAAATCAAAACCACAATGTGATACCACTTGACACCCACTAGGATGGCTATTATCAGAAAAATGGAAACTAGCAAGTGTTGTCTAGGATGTGGAGAAATTGGAACCCTTGTGCACTGCTGGTGGGCATGTAAAATGGTTCAGCTGCTGTGGAAAACAGTTTGGCAGTTCATCAAAATGTTAAACATAGAATTACCATATGACCCAGCAATTCCATTCCTAGATATCTACTCAAGAGACTTGAAAGCAGGGAATCAAATAGATTTATTGTGCATCAATGTTCATAGCAGCGTTATTCACAATAGTCAAAAGGTGAAAGCAACCCAAGTGTCCATCAACAGATGAATGGATAAATAAAATGTGGTGTATCCATGAAATGGAATATTATTCAACCATAAAATGAAATGTAGTTATAACAAATGAAAGGATAAACAAAATGTAGTACATACATACTATGGAATAGTACTCAGCCAGTAGAAGAAACAAGTCTTGATACATGCTACAATATGGATGGTGAAGACATTATGCTGAATGAAATAAGTCAATCACAAAAGGACAAATACTGTATGACCTCACTTATATAAAAACACAATAAAAAGCAAAATTATAGAGACTGAAATTTATTACTGGTTACCATGGGTAAGAGGGGGGAAAAGAAGGTTAATGGTGATGAAAAATCACATTGATTAAGGGTAGTTTGCACAGCTGATCATTGTAATTGTTGTCAATAAGTTGTACAACTGTAAAAAGTTGAACTAGCAAAAGTTGTGTAATAGATATTGTCTTAGTCATCTAGTGCTGCTATAACAGAAATACCACGAGTGGATGTCTTTGACAAAGAGAAATTTATTCTCTCACAGTCTAGTAGGCTAGAAGTCCAAATTCAGGGCATCAGCTCCAGGGAAAGGCTGTCTCTCTCTGTTGGCTCTAGACGAAGGTCCTTGTCATCAGTCTTCCCTTGGTCTGGGAGCGTCTCAGCACAGGAACTTCAGGTCCAAAGGACCCACTCTGCTTCTGGTACTGCTTTCTTGGTGGTATGAGGTCCCCATGTCTCTCTTTTATATCTCAAAAGAGATTGGCTTAAGACACTATCTAATCTTGTAGACCTCATCAGTATAACTGCCGCTAATCCATCTTATTACATCATAGTGATAGAGTTTACAACACATAAGGAAATCACATCAGATTACAAAATGGTACACAATCATACAATACTGGGAATCATGACCCAGCTGAGTTGATAGATATTTTTGGGGGGACACAATTCAATCCATGACAGATATATTTACAACAACCACAAAAAATAAATAAATAAAAAGAGTAGCTGCTGAGGCTGCTTATGTACAAAAACTTCAGGGTTTCTTTCTTTGGTTTGGAGGTTTAGGAACATCGTCTCATGGGACATCCCAATTAATCAGCCTAATAACATGTTTAGTGCTTCTGTCCTACCTCCTAGTTCGTTGCACAGTGCCTTCAGTCTTAAAAGCTTGCAAGTGGCCATTGAAGTCATGAAAATTTGTCTCTATTCAACTGGAGCAACAAAGCAAGAAAGAGAGTCAGGAATAGGAGGATATGGAATGTGTGGCTAGTTGCTTCCATGAACAACTGCCCACTTTGCCATGAGACCAGAAGAACTGGATGGTGTCCAGCCATCATGACCGAACATTTTGATCAAAGACTCTATAGAGGAATCCTGATCAAAAGGGTGAAAACGCAAAACAGAATTTAGAATTCTCATGGACCCCTGACTAACTGGAGCCACGGGGGCTGGATGAACCCCTGAAACTATTGACCTGAGATAGTCTTTAAAACTTAAACCAAAAGTATGTCCTGAAGTCTTAATAAAACAAACAATAGTTTAGCTTAACTAGTAAAAAATATCTGCCTTGAGCACTATGCTCTTTTAAGAACTATCCATATGGGATCAAAGTGACAACAGTAACTTGAAAGATTGGATAGGAATCTTAGGGGACAGTGAGTTTATGTTAATGAGGGAGGAACAACAGAACAGATTCTCCCCTAGAACTTCCAGAGGAAGTGTGGCCATCATGCCAACTCCTTGATTTCAACCTAGTGATGCTAATTTCAGACTTACTGCCTCCAGAACTTTTAGAGAATAAATTTCTGTTGTTTTAAGCCATCTGATTTGTGATAATTTGTTACAGCAGCCACAGAAAACTAATACACTATTCATTCATCCATCCATCCATTTATTTATTGTTAAGATGTTCTGAGCACGAATCATATTCAAGATATAGTTCACTATGGAGGATTCAATATGCATAAGTTTATGCTATCAAAAGTTTATTTTCTGAAAAATATTAAATTTTAAGAATTACATAATAGTATGAATTTTGTATAGTAAGAATTACATAATATCCACAAAAAATTTCCACAGTCCCAGAAAACTTTCAGGATTTCTAACCTAAACTTAAAATAAAATTCATTTTTTCCTTAAGAGAAAGTGATGGAAGCAAATTCGTTAAGTTAGTGAGTTTAAGAGTTGTAGGAAATTATAGATTTATTCAAATAATACTGATTGACAAGTCTCAAATGTAAAATTTTTATATCTGTAAAGCTTAGAAATGTGATAATTGGGGAAAATGCAAAACAATGGCATTTATTTTGGAAAGAAAATTCTAAAGGAGTATAATATATTTTTATATTTTATATATTTTTATATGTTACACATAATATATAAAATAAGGGAAATATATATATATACAATAAGGGATAAGAAATATAAAAATGTTATAGAAACTAGACTTGAGGTTATTTAGTCTAGCCCTCTCATTTACTGATAACTAGGAAATAAGAGTAGACTCTTCATTAACTGAAAGGTTCCAGGGACATCCCAAGATCTAAGCCCAAACCTAGTATTCTCCAGGTCACAAAAACTTAATTTGTTTTTACTCTGAGGCCAGAACTAAGAAGTTTATTCTCCTATTACTCCTAAAGCATAACCCACCAGATGTGTATCAGGAAAAACTAACAAACAGAATTAAAGTGAGCAGATGAGAGGAAGGAAAGACTCTCTAAGAGAGACCCAGAAAAGCAATTTTATGGTGAAGAACCATTTCATTTTTTTTTTTGGTTGCATTTTGTGTTACTTACTGTTCATTCTAGACAGTTTCTGTTTTGATAATGGGTATATAACTTGCTAGGAATATCAGTAATCAAGTGGCAGAAAAGCAAGCATTCTGGCAGGGCCAGAGTGTGGGGACATTAGAGAAAGTCACTCTCTCCAGGTGGCCATAGCTTTGCAGGTGCATAACTTGCCAAGGTGAGCCTGAGTGTATTTCAGCCCCATCTACCTCCTTGACTAGGGGCCTTTGTGCAGGAGATACAATGCCTAACAATGCACAACTGTGCACAGCGGCCCTGCAGGCTGGAGAAGAAACATCTCAGACCCAGAATTTGATTGCCACGTAGAAAGTCAGAATAAATCCATTCTGCCCAAGCTTTTTTCATTACTCACATCCTGGGCTGTTGGCACAATAACCTTAATCATCTGACTTTTTAGAGGAAATTTTCTGATCTTGGCTGGACTGACCAGGCTAGATGCTACATTTGACCCCATTTTTAAATTGCCCAAATGGTGTGAATGGGTGTGTGTCTTAGGGTGCCCCCATACGCTGGCCTTCTTCCAGGGTCTTATTTGTAACTTGGTAGTAACCAGCACTACTGATGGGAGTAGGGAATGATGGTAAGAAATGGTAAGGATCTGGTCAGTGCCGCCCTGATCTGAGTAAAATTGGGAGGCAGGGATCACTCTTGGTCACCCATGAAATGGCAGCCAAGTACAAATCGAAAAAGTGAAATGAATCAAAAGTAGAGGACAATTCTGAGACAGCTGGTTCTGATCTCTGCTCCACCCACCCCAAATTGGATATTGGGCATGCTATGTTTGGAAGAATTAGCAAGGAAAGTACTCCTGTTCGTGACAAAGCACACAGGCCATTTTCTGGCCCCTGCCTACTGTGACTAGATGTTTACTTTGTTTCCTTGGAGATTACAAGGATTTTGATGCCTAGAGAAGAAGAGGAAGGCCAAGAAGGACTTGAGAAACAAGTAACCATAATTTCTAAAGTCTTCAGACTTTTAACAATATTATACAAGGAACTCTATTGTCACAAAACAGCTTCTGATCTCCTTTACTTATAACATTCCATTTCTGCTACCCATATGGTTTTCCCTAATATGAAGTTTCTTCTTCCTTCTTCTTTAATGATCCATGTCCTTCTTTCAAACACTTACCACTCCCAGGAAACCTTAATGCACATCCAAACTGATTCCTTCCAGCCCTAAAAATGTACACTGCGGCTGGAAATCAAAGAAACGTTTGCCCTCCTAAAATTGTGGCTTAAGTCTAAGACAGGGGTCAGCAAACAGCTTGCAGGCCAAACCCAGCCCCCTCCCCCATCATTTATTTTTGTACAGCCCATGAACTAAAAATTACTTTTATAGTTTTTAAATGGTCAGAAAAGAAAACAAAGAATAATAATATTGCATGACGTGTGAAAATTATCTGAAATTCAAATGTGTCTGCAAATAAAGTTTTATTGGAATGCAGAGATGTTCATTTGTTGATGTATTGTCTCTGGCTGCTTTCGCACTACCACAGCAGAGCTGAGTACCACAACAGAGACCACGTGGAGCGCAAAGTCTAAAATACTTACTATCTGGCCCTTTACAGAAAAAAACTTGTTGAACTCTGGCTTACGACATTAAGAGTACCAGAGATGTTAAATAAGAACATACCAAAAAAAATAAATTCCAGGCAACTCAACAAGGTAAAGGCTATCAAATCGCCAAATTAAGGTCTAAGTACTCCAATCAAGACTAAGTGATCACCGTGAGAAGCAGGGTATGAGCAGGAAAAAAAAAAAAAGTGAAAGAGTATACAAAAGTAAACACTCTACACTTGGTAAGTATGGAGATAATGTCTGTGTTGCTCACTGCCACATCCCCAGTACCTAGCCCACTTCCTAAGCTGGGTATGAGCTCATTAAATAGTCACTGAATGAATGAAGAGGAAGGCAGGAGGAAGAAACACCAAATAAGTGAAGCAAGAGTTATACAGGGTTTGGAGTGAAGACAGGTCTGAACAACAACCTCAAGTCTGTCTACCCTTGAGTCACCGTCCCCAAAAGTTAGCAAAAATCTACACTTTGGAAGCTGACATACCCAAATGCTAAGCATGTGCCAAGGAGACTGAAGAAATGATTTAAATAACTATGGTAGCTGCCAGAGAACATTCAAGCCCACCTTTTCCACCTCCTCCTTAGTCACCAGACGCTTACATATTCCAGAAACTAAATTCAGACTTGGGGATTATCAAGGGGAAGGAAATCGAATATAAAGCTACTGAAATAAACAGCACCACTTGTCGCTGTTGATCTCTGGTTAACGGGCTTTTCTTTCCGAAAACAGGGCCTCTTTTTCTTTCTCTCTCTCTCTTTGTCTCTCTTTGCTTGCAGGTGACACCTACACATATCCTTCAGCCTTGGCAGAGATGCTCGCTCAGATAAGAACTGGAGTTCATGCTGCACATTTTCATCTTTGTGTGTCATCATCACCATGTAAAACCACAACTGTAGGGAAACAAAGCTGTTTGCTGCTCCTCTGTCTCAACTGACATTTCCACCCAGTTCTCACATTTTTTGCTTTGGAGCCAGAGAAGCATTTAAATCTGTCATTGAGATAGCTCTGCCCAATGAACTAAGTCGAAGCCAATCCACCTCTAGCCAGAGATAATTTCACCTTTCTGCAACTTTATGTCCCCTCAAATTCCTGGCATCCCCAGCCCTTTCATAGAGTTCAAACAGGAGACAAGGATAGGGAAATGGTCTTCAAAAGCACGTATCTAGCCCTTAGGGTTGCACCAAAAGTGAGATCAACTTGGAAGAGTTGACATATTCTTGGGTCACCCATATTTCATCCCAGATGTTTTTCAAGTGTGGGCCTCAGTGTCCACATGATGAAATGAACAAAAGCCCAACTGAGAAAGTGTGCCAGGTTTTGCTCTGGACAGAGGTCTGGGTTTCTAGGTGCTAGGAGCCTGTGAATCTTGGAAGGGAAACTATGCCTTTCTTCTGGGAAACCAAATCAGAGAAAGTGGAGCGATCCAACCACTCAGATGCTTTCTTGAAGGGCAAAACTACTCTGAGCCTCACTGCTGAAAAATCAAGATTTAGGCAGTGCCTTGGTTTAAAAGGCACAGGTAGATACTTGGAGAAGCTAAGTTTCCAAACAGGATTCTGAAATAGTTCCCAGACAGTCCTGCTGCTGCTTAGTGTGACAGTCCAGCTGCCATTATGGATCCAGAAGTTTCCTTGAGTTTTCTCACCTACCCATTATCTCTGTTCCAAATAAGATGAGAGGGGAGAAAGGTACTATTTTAAAATGAATCATAATGTATTTTTACCAGACTGGAGAAAAGACGTGAAGACAGGGCTGGGGCAATTACACCATTCGCGTTGTTAGGTAGTTAGAACATGGTGAGACTTCTGTCAAGCGAAGCCCTGAAGTTTGCATTTTATTTCATACTGCATTTTAGTTTCATGGCCCTAGAGCCTTTTCACAGAACTAGGCTACACTACTTTTATTAGCCCAGGAAAGGAGTAGTTTATTGAGCAGATTCATTTAGCAGCTGATTTTTACTAATCTTATCCCTTTCCACTTGATTTGACTTGTTTTATTGGACCCATGAGGTAGGAGAAGACATGTAAGGCCATATTTTTCAAGTTTTAGTTACTTTGTTAAATTTAATGAACTCTATTTCAACAAAGAGGAGTCAGTGTGGAGATGAACTCGTTGCACACCTATTTGACTTCAAGCCACCCTCACAGTACGAGCTGTAGTAAAGGAAACGGGCTGCTTTGTGAGTCACCAGGCCTCTCTTGGGTCTGTTGGTCAAGGGCCTTCTCCTACCTACAAAATGAGAGTGTGTTTGTTTGTGTGGGTGTGCACACACATGCAATGGTTACTATGTCTGATTTGAATTTTCAAGTTGCTCCAAATGCCACAACCTTTGTTAGTTAGTTTGTTGCTGTAGTTATTCTTACTTTAAAGAACTGCAAGCTATTAGAGTGCCCAGTTATGATGTCTGTCTTCAGTATTCTCATCTTCGAGCTCTTTCTGAATCAGAGCCAAAGCACTTAGAGACTTTGTTGGGCTAAAATCACCACATTAAAAAGAGCAGCAGTTCAGTAACAGGAAAGGGCTATAACTACAAAAGCAACATTTTTCAGAAGCCTTAGGCTAAAGACGTGTTTGAAATGCAGTCAATACTCCATTCAGAGGGAATTTGGGGGTCTTTAATGGGAAATCAATTTACTCCTGCCTGTGGCTTATTTAGCGTGACTTTTAAAGATATTCTTTGTAATAGTTTTGATTTTCCTCATTGCACATAAATTTCTAAAATGGAAGTGAATATATATCCACCAGGTTTTCTTTCACCAGGTTCGGCTGCATGTAATGTTTTACCTCTTGTTTTTCAAATGAAATTAATGTTTGAGCTCCTTAATAGCAAAGTGAGAAACAAAACAGGCCCTCTTCTTCTCAGAGTGTGATTAGAACATTTAGCCTGGCCATTCATTGATAAAGCCATATAAAATTTATTCTTTCAGTCAATAAATATCACTGGGGCTATAGCAATAAACAAAACAGAAAAAGTCCCTTCCCTCATGGAGCTTACATTCCAGTTGGAGAGACAACCAATAAACAAATAAGGAAAACATCTAGGTAATAGATAGTGAAAACTCTATGGAGAAAAACAAGCAAAGAAAGCAGATAAGGAGTGTGGAATGGGAAGGGCTTTAACTAGAGTCAAAAAAAACAACAAAACCAAACCCATTGCCATCAAGTCGATTCAGACTCATAGCAACCCTATAGGACAGAGTAGAACTGTCCAGTGGGGTTTTGAGGGAGTGGCTGGTGGATCTGAACTGCTGACATTTTGGTTAGGAGCTGAGCACTTAACCACTGCACCACCAGGGCTCCTTAACTAGAGTACAAGGCATCGTTTGAGCAGGGACCTGAGGAGGTAAGGAAGCAAGCCATGCAGATACCTGAGGAGCACATCCCAGGCAGAGGAAATAGTACATGTAAAGGATCTGAGGCGGGAACATACCTGTCCTGTTTGAGGAGGAATATGTCAGTCAGAAAAGCAGGCATATACTTACGAGAGAGAGAGAGAGAGAGAGAGAGAGAGATCCTGAGCCTTGAATGTCCTTGCAGATGCCAAAGACTCATCCTGCCCGAGTTCCTTAGAGAGTCCATGCCACTGTCTTTGGCCTGGGCCGGTAACAGATCTGTAGAAGTGATGACCCTAGTTCTAGGTCCATCATTAGCACCGTCTCCAACTTCCAATGTCTAGTTAAATTTTACTCTCTGGGATCAATCCCTTGGCCTGCCATGGTTCCCATCCAGCAGTGCAAAAGGCTGGGATGAGGGATCAGACATCCACTTGCCCATCAACACACCCATTCTAATAGCCATGATAACTGGTGGCTCAGTTAGTTAACCCGAGGGGCTGATAGCGTCAAGGCTGAAGTTTGCTCTGTCTCATAGAGTGTTCACATCATACAGAATGCATGGGTAAGTCCAGTCCAACATCTCAGAGGGGTAAACCATTGGTCTGATGAGAAATTGTGACCGTAGCCAAGCAAACAAATTGTCACTAGAAGTGTGCCTTGCTTGAAGTGAAGCTAATATTTGAAAGTCTAGATTTTTTTAATCTGTGACTTCTGACTCCAAGGTCTGTGTTTTTTCTAGACTGTATAACATGTGTGAGAGACAACAAAGAGAAAAACTGATGAAGGAACTGATAAAACTAGAGGAAAGAGCATTCCCAATCCTACTCAAAACTGGAGAAAAGGATTTAGCTTATACTTCTTTCAAATGGCTAGTTACCTCTAGATTCATTGCCAAAATAAAGCATTCTTGCTCTGAAAAACAATATTAAGGCACAAATTTTAAAACACACCAACCACAGTTCAGTAATTTTATCACTGAATACACAGAACATAACATACACTTGGTCTCTTTAAATTGGCATATTCAGCCCAAAATATGGAAGCTCATAATAAAAAATTACAGGGCTATCATTAATTATAAGACTCTTACCATAGCAGTAGAAAATGATACTGTTTTCTTTCATAAGTACCGTATCTGAAACTGTAAAGACATTGCTCTAGCCACCATTTTTAAACCATTTCTTGGTTCATACTAATAGTGAAAATGGACTTCCTTATGTAACATTTCTACTTTGGTTCTGTTCAGAGTGAGTAAGAAAAATCTCAAGTGTGATTCATCTTTAGTTAATCTCCATTTCCAGTCACAAAATAAAACCATTTATTATCAAAGATCATATCTTTCCATTTTATTTTTTATTTTTATTTTTTGTTGCTGTCCTTTCTAAAATTCTCCAGCTCTGTCATTTTCAAATACAATTTCATAACTTGGATTGAAGAACTCTGTGTGCTAAGAGGTTGGCAATGTGACATGTGTGCCAGTATAAATTCAACAGTCCTTCACCATCCAAGTATTGTTGAGTTTGACCTTTTATGGATTAATTAAGTTAATGAAACGGGAACCCATTTAAAAATCAACTAGAATACAATATTTTCTGTCTGGAATTGTAAGATTCTTACCATCCCCTTCTCCTCACGTTAAAAAAAAAAAATTAAAGAAGTTTCCTTCTTTAAATTAAAAAAGTAAAGAATTTTTATACATAAAACTGGGGGAAAATACTTTACATTTCATTACACGTTAAAATATTCCAAGAAACAGAAACATTATAGAATTTTAGAGGTTCTTATATTCTATAGCACCTGATCTCTGGGTAGTGGGTTTAAATTTGTATTAATATTCCTTCTCTTCTTAGGTCATTGCCCACCTTTGTGCATAATTTATCTGTATGGCATTAATGATAACAGCTATAACATTATAATAGCCAGACACGGTGCTAAGTGCCAGAGACAAACAGAGAAAAAGACAGGCTTGAGCCATGTTCTCGTGAAGCTCATAGTATAGGAACAGACATTTCTGATCATTATCTATTTTTTGTAGCTAAAGAAACAATCTCAAGAGGCAGTGAATTGCCTGAGGCCATTCAGCTAGTAAAAGGCAGACCAGGGACTTGAACAGGCTCTACCTGAGTCTAAAACCGTAGGCTCCTCCAATATCTGAATAAATCAAAGCACTGAACAAATTGTAAATGACCTAGGAGAGTCCATTCTTACAGGTCCCCTGGCATGCTCCAGTCGACCCAAAACCAGAGGTAGAAAATTATCCATGGCCATTCCAGGACTAGGCCTTGGAGGGTCTCTTGAGAGCTTTGATACTCTCCTATTAGAGGTGACACAAACCCAAAGTACTTTTCCATGTCAATGGACCTCCAGGGTAAACAGGCAGCTGAGCCCACAGAGTCTGAACCTCTGAACCCTAAACTACGTAAAGTTCCTCTAACGGCGTTCTCACCGGGGCAGGCTTCTTCTGTCTGCTGCCTTCCAGACAACTTCTACCTGCTGGCAGCCACCCCCTCAGCACATGGCAAGAATCTTGTCGTTCCCTTCTGTTCTGCCTCCTTCAAAAGAAGCTTCTTGGGGCTCCTCCCCTATACCCTAATGAATGCTAACATCTCTTTTTCACAGTATCATCCCTGCCCCTGTGGATGCTTTTTCAGCATTCTACTTCAGATTTCCACTCATACATTAAAGACACCAGCTGTTCAAACCTGAAATATATGGAAAAGAAAACCCCCTAAAGGATTTGACTGAAATGAGCTACTAAGTAAATAATCCTTTATTTTATTCAAATAATTTTGATAAAAAGTGACCTTATTTCCTGACACACACTCTTCCTTTGTGTGGAGGACTACTTTATTCTTTTTAAACAATATTGTGACAATTAAACAGAATTTCCATCACAGGCAGTGAGGAAAGCATATCTGTTTGTTCTAGATATGAGGGGATTCCATTGGTCAAAATGACTAAATGTGGTCAGAATTCATCAAAGACAAAGTCTACATCTTTCTAAACTAAAAGGAAAACAACATTAAATAGGAACTAAGTGGCTCATTTCATGAATGAGAGACCGTGTTTTGATGGTTTAAAAACATTTTAAGTCTCACCGTCTCCCTACCTTCCCCACTCTAACCTACCCCCACTCTGCACACCCATTTAACCAACAGGGATGATTTTCTAGGAGTCCCTGGGTAATACAAATGGTTAACAGGTTCACTTTGCTGCTAACTGAAATGTTGGCAGTTCAAGTCCACCCAGAGGCACCTTGGAAGAAAGACCTGGTGAACTATGAAAAATCAGCCATTGAAAACCCTATGGAGCAAAGCTCTACTCTGACACTCAAGAGATCACCATGAGTCAAAATCAACTCAAAAGCAACTGGGAATGGGATGATTTTCTAGCCTTTCTTCTCTAGGAAGTTTTTGGTCATCACACTTCACTTGATTGCGATGAGCAGGTGAGTGAGAATGGAACAGGGCTCGACCAGCAGCTTGGAAGCAGATTTCAAGGCAACAGAATCCACTCACTTGTTGTTTTCTACCTTAATATCTCAATCAAGTCAATAAATACTTGCTAAGTTTGAATTTGGATCATGGCACTGCAAGGTACCTGCCACAGTAATTTTCTTCAACTTCATTTCAGAGTATCAAAATCATCTTGATATTTAGTCTAGTCGGTCACCCAAGAAAATTGGCATCGGTGGCCTAACAGGGGCCCGAGATCGCCGGCTGAAGACAGAGGCAGTCCTTTCCTATCCAGATCAGTGGTGTTGAACAGATGAAGAGGCAGCAGCCGGCTCACATCTGGATAGGTGTCTGTGTCAGGAGCGGTAGGCTGCAAAGTCACGCGCAGGGGCATAAGGTTGGTAGTGTTTGCGGGTGGGTCCAGGCCTTCGAGGGGTCATGTTCATGTAGTCACTCTGAAGGATCCTGCTCCTCTTATTCTTCATCTGTCAAAAAGAGAAGTGTCAATGTGGAAGGGGTTGGGGACATAGATGGAGAAGTATTGGGAGGTGTCCTAAGACACACAAAAATTAAAATTAAAAGCCTACTTTGGGAGCAACTATTCAGAACATCAGCTATCAAATGAAACTGAACACCATCATTCCTTGAGCACCTTGAACTTGGACAATGACTAATCCAACTGAATTAATTCCGACTCTTCTAAATTAACTTTAAAAAGCTGAATCGAAGGAAATATTTAGAGAAATGCACTCATATTATTCTCAATGCAGTCATTTGATCCAAATTCCAGAAATATATAATCATTGTTGATAAATCTAATTAATATATCCATTGTTGATATGTAAATACACTTGAAAACCTTTGCTCCTTTGAATAGGTCAAGCATCCTCCTTGCAATCTTCTTAGATTAGCCATTTTCTTAACAAGTTGTTTTTCCATAATTAATCAGAGAAGACCCTCAGTTCATCCAGAGTCTGGAATAAACATAAATTCATAGCAGTGGAGTCCAGATTAACCAGGATTTACAGTTCTGCACAACTAGCTGTATTACTATTCCCTTATGTGTATGTATTGCCCTAAAGACAATACACCTACTCCTAACTTATTGACTATCTCATTATCTGACATTTCACTTTTACGACAATAGTAAAAGAATCTACTATCTATTTTGCACATTAACTACATATGTTTGGCAGTAATGAACGTGAGATTAATGCTGGCTGTGATGGTTAAGGTTGTGTGTCAACTTGGCTGGGCCCTGATTCTCAAGTGATTTGGCAGTTATGCAATGATGTAATTTAGCAGTTATGTAATGATGTAGTCATCCTCCATTTTGAGATCTGATGTGTTCATCCTCCATGTTTGCATAATGTTGATTTTCTCAGAACAACCTGGTCTTTGGAACCTTACCATGTCAATAAGTGAGGAGTTGGTGTAGTGTCACTCATCCCTATTCCTCAAGCTCAGCTTCCTCAGTATGAATTTCTACCATTGGTGAGGAAAGTACAGGCAATACTGAACAAGAGTTAAACTCACCATGAGTCTCAGTATAGTTTTGACTGGAGGTTAGACGCATCCTTTCTGGACCAATGTGGTGTTAAAATTTATACTTTTAGCAAAAGAGCCATAAAATTCTAAAAATAGAAAGTCATCTTGATTTATGGATTCAGAATTCTCCTTTATTTAAAAAAAAAAAAAAAAGCCTATTTCCTGGCACATAGGCCTGGCACATAAAGATATGCTGTACATGAGTGACATGAATATCTGAATAAATAAGTGAATGACTTCAACATTGATCTTTATTTCAGGCACTCCTACCTAAGCCCCTCAAAGCTTCTTTGTCAAAGGGCATGAGCAAATGTTAAAGAAAGGTTTGAAAAACAATGACTTTTATGTTACTAAATCCAGCTGGCATGTTTACAGTCCTCATCTTCCTAAGCACTGAGCAGATTTCTATACTAGTGATTATGGTCTCCTTTTTGAAATACTCTTCCGTTTTGCCATCTGTGACATGGCACCATCCTGGTTTTCATCCTACCTCTCTGACCACTTCTTCTCTGACTGCTTTTGAACTCATCCTTCTCTAAGTAGCTATTCAATGTTAGAGTTTTCCATAGCTGGGTCCTCGGCCTTCTACTCTACTCACTCTAGACAATCTCATCCACATCCACGGCTTCAATTACCCTCTAGTATTTACCTGAATTTGTATCTCTGGACTAGACCTCAAAGAGACTTCAAAATGTCCAAAATTAAACTCAAGATCTTCCCCTCAAATCTGGCTCTCTTCCAGTGTTTTCCATCTCAGTAAATGACACTACCATCCACACAGTTGTTCAAGCCAGAACCTAAGCTTCATCCTTGACACCTCCAGCTCCTTTATCTTCTTTTACCAAATCCTGTTGATTTTACCTAAATGTCCCTGAAATCCGTCTACCTCTCTCCGTCTCTACCACAACCATCCTATTTCTAAACTACCATCATCTCTCACTGGAGCTACTTCAGTAGCCTCTCAACTGGACCCCTGCTTTTACTCTTGTCTCTTACTGCCATTTCCATGCTACAACCAGGATGCTTTGGACTAGGCTTTGAGGAATAGGTAGGATTGCAATAGGCAGAAAAAGCAAAATCAGTATTCTAGTTGAAGGAGACAGCACTGACTAAGTTGGAGACAGAAAATGTCTAACTTGAGAAGACTTATTCAGAGAAGGAAATCATAGCAGATAACCTTGATGACCTCAATAAATTAGGAGTTGAGGCCAACTTACGAGAATATAATTAGTGTGGGTTGGAGAGGGGCTTGAAAAGTGCAGAGAGATTTAGAAAAAATTTCAAGGGAAGAAGCACCAAGATACTAGAATTCTAAGGTGATCTGGCCTCTTGAATACCAAGGAAGGAGAAGTGTTATTATTCATATTGATATTACTATTATTAAATTCAAGTGACTAACAGCACCATTATTATAGGAATAATCTTAGATCCAGACTAATTTGTGTTTTTTTCTTTTTTAAGTCATTCAAAAGCATTTACACTTTCCTATTGGTAATAATTTACTTGAGTTACCCCAAACACACTGGTGGCAATAAGGATGACATAAGATGATCGCTTTCAGAAAATTAATCTGGCAGTTATGTACCAGAAACACTGAAGGGAAGAGACAACAGGTGGGGGAAAATGGGTCTACAACAATGATTCTCAAGCAGGAGTGATTTTGTGTGTCTACTCCCCTACCCCCACCAGAAGACATATGACAATGTTTAAAGACATTTTTGGTTGTCACACCTGGGAGGGATGTTACTGGTATCTATTGGATAGCGGCCAGGAATGTTGCTGAACATCCTACAATGTACAGAGCAGCCTCCCAAAACAAAGAATTATCCAGCCCAAAATATCAATAGTGCCAAGATTGAGAAATCCTGGTCTATGGAGACCCATCATGAAAAAGAACTGAAGGAAAAGGAAGCAATGTATACAAAATATATTACCAAATTAGAATGAATATTGTTGGGCTGCTTGACTCCTCCTTCTTATTCAACTCTAATACCCAAAGATGACTGATGATTTGTGCCTGGGTAACTGGAAGAATGGTGTTCCATCCACAGACATAAGGCAAGACAGTAGGAGAAATAGAATTGAAAGACAAGATGATAAATACAGCTTTGGTCATTTGAGATTTGAAATGGTGGATGAGTTATCCACCTGGAAATAAGAAGAGAGGATAGCATTGGACACATAATTAGGGGATTCATTCACATAGAGGTAGTCGTGGAAACTAAGTGGGCAAGTGAAGTTGTTCTTCAAATACCTTGGTTCTACATCTTTTCTCTTGGGCAAAAGATTAGAGCAGGGCAGGGATAAAGGCAAGGAAATGTCTGCTCCCAAATAACATACGCAAGGATGCTGAAGATATCCTGGGAGGCATTTCGAGTACTCACTCCAATCCTGAGATAGTCTTTGCCTACAGACACACACACACACACACACAAACTATAACTGGTAAAGAGATTCCAATAATGAACATGAGGTTTTCCACGTAGCTCCAAGAGATTATGAAAGATCTGCTGCAATCAGCCCCCTTGCTGTTATCAGATGGTGAACTCACCATAACTCTAAACATAGGCAGTGAGATGGCTATGACACATGCATGGCTGGGAACCAAATCCATAGTGTCCATGTGCATCTAGCATATGCATATATGTGTGCAGGGAGTACTCATGTGACGTGTTGGTGTGACTAGGTCATCTATTCACCCCTTCACAATTCAATGTCTGCTAAAGATGTGTGGTTTCAGGGCCACTCCTCCTTTCCCTCCCCACCCCATCTGGTACCCACTTGTACCATGGGAACAGCAGCAGGACACAGGGCATACACAGGAAATTCACTTAAAGACACAGTCTTCAAGAACCTACTGGATTTAAAGACAGATGCTACTTGTAAGTCACTATTCACACTCCCCACATTGTGATCTACAGTGGGGAAGACCATGTTTTTAAAAACTCTCCTTTACAACAGGAAAGAGATGGGTTTTCTAGCTTAGTTGATAAATGGAACATTGAGTGAAAGTAGCAGATGCTGATCTGTGACAGATCTGGCAGAGGGATGCTGTTTATTTACTCAAATGTCAGCAGCAGGTCAAGGACTGAGATAGAATCTGCAGCTGCTCCCAGAAGCCTACTCAGCCTAGAACTATCTACAACAGCACATGACAGGCCCTCAGGAAGTTCCAGAAAACACAACTTACACCAAGGCACCCTGCAGACCTGCCAAAAATAGGATACCAGAAAAGTACCCAGGCAAAAGTATCCAAAGTTTATCTAGGGAACCCTAATGGCATGGCTGCCTAGCTCAGCAAGGAAAAGAGAAGCCTGTGATAAAAAGGCCATGTTATTCTATGAAATATAGATATGTTTTGATTTCACACTCTTTTAGTTAAAGAGTACAAAGACTTAGATTTGAGATGCAAATAAAGAGTAGCTCTTATCGGGTAGCCTAGTAGACTACAAGAGGCGACAGATGACAAGACATGCCAGGTAATGGGACTTTCCAATTCACAGGGAATTGGTAAGTTTTCTCAAGCTAGAGCAAGATGATCCTCACCAGGAATTAGCAGTGCTGCCAAAAAAAAGCCCACCCAATTCTTCTCATGTCTATGATGTTTCTGAGTTGAAAGTGAACTGTCTAAACTCATTGAAAGTGAAAAACTGCATTCCTTCCTTTGGGTGATGCAAGTCATTTAGCAAATTTGTGCCTCATTATAGTAACTGATATTCTAATACATATTTACAACAATTTTTAAATGATCAGCAGTACCTTTCTGGCCACTGAAATTTAAAGGAGTTTGCAAAACTACTTCCCGTGAATCTAGTAACTCACTTTGATCTAGGTGAGCAAAATTTCCTGGGAGGTTACCCACTGCACCTGGTCTTTAAGTTAGAAAGTTAAGATTCCTAACAAGAACACTGAAAAGTCATATAGCAGGCCTAAAAGACAATGGCCAGTGATTAGGAAACACCAAGAACTAAGGATTCTAAATTCTCAGATCATTGACAAACATCACAGAGGTTCAAAGTTGGCAGGTACCTTGAATGAAGAACCAAGATCCAAAAAGATGAAGGGACTCAACTAACATGAGAGGCAGAGCTTAAGCGACATTTTACTACACCGAAGTCCCCATCAGAGTTGGACAACTTGCAGAAGACAAGCCAGGCAAATTCCCAAGATGCTATCTATTATAAAGAATTTCCAGCAACAAGCAGCCACTCTGTTCCCTACCTTGCAGATGGTATAGATTAGGCCACAGGCAGCCTGACAAATGTCCATCTACCCCTAGGGTTTTCAGAACGGGGAGGAGCACTTGGGGAACAACTAAGAGGCAAACTTTGGCAATAGATGAACAACAGTTAAAAAGGATCCAAGGCTGGATGATAGAAGAGCATGATTGTGAATCCTGGGCTGCTCCTCGGCACTCAGGCTATAGTAAATAGAATGGCTTCACATGGCATGGCTTCCAGAAATCATTGACCCATATATGTTGTTAGTTGCCATTGAGTTGCCTCTGACTCATGGCAGCCTTACATATAACAGAACAAAACATTCCCTGGTCCTATGCATTTTCATGATCGTTAGTATTTTGAGCCCTTAGTTTGGCTTCTGTGGGGGTCATTAATTTCATCAATTCAATAAGCATTCATTAAGTAAGTGTACTTAATACCAGATGGCTGGAGAATATCAAGAAAAACAGACCTTTATTCTTGAGGAGTATACAATCTAGTTGAAAAAATGACTCATACATACATCTAACTTCTAGAAAAAGAAAATTCTAGAATAAACAGAGGCACAGTATGAGGTGTTCTCTACTGCACAGTGTACATAAGAACAGGAAGTTTCTGAGTAAGAGAGTATCCTTGCTAAGGAGTTCCTTTAACAATAGATATGTCAATTGAGATTATTCAAACCTAGCCCAAAAATTCAACACTGAGAAAGCTGAAGAAAAGTACAGCAAGTTTAATGCATGAGCATTTGAAAAAGTTGTAAACTCCAATTTGGTGGTAAGAGCTCAGAAAAGTCCAACTGTCATAATAGTTTCATAATGACGGCACCATACTTGGCCTCACACAATTCAACTGCTTCAGAGGAGAAAAAAATATGACTCAGATAAACAGACCTATTTTCTTTGGTAGATTTGAATTTCAGTAGCCAAGTTTCTCATGATTTTGGACCCTGAACTAAAGTTGTTCATTGACTTTAGTTGCTTAGATTCCCAAATTGTCTAGATTTATATGTAGATAGATAGACAGACAGACATAGATATGTGTAGATACAGAGATATATATAGATATACTGTATTATGTGTTATAATCATACAGAAAAATGATTCTCCCACTCCTGCCACCCTAAATTGTCCATTTAGCTTCTTATCCTGCCTTGCACTAATCAGTGCCTTTTGGAAAATAGACCTCACATTAGATTTTTATCTCAAATAAGTTTGACAGGCTAAAGAGAGAATCTACTCAGGCCTAGTCAGGAAAAAGAAAATAACAATATTCACATTTAAACAGAAAATAAATCACGTAGGAAAAATTCTGAAATATATTCAGATTGCGTGTGTATTAGAAAAGTTACATAAAAGCAGTGCTGCTTGTCTTACCCAGCAAATACAAAGGGCCACTGTTATTACCAAGCTATAGAAAGCCAGGGCTCCATTAACCACCACCAGTGCCCAGAAGGGCTTAGAAGATTCAGTAGACGGGGGAGCTGGACAAATATGTGTCTCTGAAAAATAGAAGACAGTTGGTTAAATGATACAGGAATGGCACTTGAGTACAATTTCCTTCTTCTGAACATCATAGAAGAATGTGAGAGAAATAAAAAATATGCAAAATACCACTAGCTTAGAGTATGCAGACTTCCTTTTTCATGATTCACCTGACTTTGTTGAA